CCCCAAAACCCCAAAACCCCAAAACCCCAAATATTATTCAAGCAGCTGATTTAATACGTTTATTAATTATGTCAGTGAGTAATACTGAGAGGGAGGCCGAGAGTAGGCCTGAGTGGGCGGTCAAACATGTAAGTAGGCTAAGGCTGGGATTTAATTGGTGGTAGGAGAAAAAGTGGGATTCAAGCCAACAGAAGAGATTACAAAAAGAGCCGAATGAGTGCAATGATCAATATCATTTAGTTAGAGAAGCGGCAGGGGTGAACTTTGGGCTTATTGTTGATAAGCTCAATTCTTGTAGAGAAGAGTTTTATCGTTTTGATTCGGCAGGATTCAATTTTTATCAACATGTCACTAAGAGTTTCAGCCAGAAGGGCAATAAAGATAGATTTGTTGAGATTACAGAGATGGTGCTGAAAGATTTACAAATAAATGGATCTCACCAAGATGAAGTTGATTTGTTTGAATTAACAGTATGCTAGAGTTCTTAAATATAGTTTAATGGCAATGATTCGGATATAGATAGTGTCCTTATCAAAATGGCGAAGCAGGGGAGCACTTTTCCTATATCTTGGCTCTTAGAATTCTTTGCTCTACAAGGTAACTTGCTAATCTCAATAAAAATTCAAAATTATTCTTAAAGACAAGCTTTAGCTGCTAAAGAGTTTTCTCATTGCTTGCTAAGATCTCGCAGCAAATAAATCTGAAACTTTTGTTCTCAAATATCTTTTAAAACTTGATTTATTCCCATTCATTAATATTTTCCAAATTTAAGATTTTTTGAAATTTCGATCAAAACTTGTTTATGATAATCTAGGAATAAACAAAACTTTGCAAGTAAACAAAGTAAATCAAAACGATCAGACCTTCCTTCACATCTTATGTCAAGGACTAAAGGCTCAAGAAGCTTTTGACATCTATTGTGACTACAAGGAACATTACTCCTTTGATCTTGACCTTAGAAATAATGAAGGAGTCTCAACCATGGTAATTTTTATTTAGATATTTTCAAACAAAATTTGAACTTGGTTAAACAAACTTTTTACTATCTGAATATCTTCGCATTATCAGTACATAAAGTGTAAGGCTGCTGCCACCTCCAATGCTACTCTAGGTTGATTCTGATTTAAAGCTCTTAGTAACCAGAGTGATTGGCTTCAGCAACATTAAAATCTTTCTCTAGTCTTGGAACCAACAAGATTCTCTTTGCAATTTTTATCATCACAGGGCAATAGCTATGCCACATAAGATGCATATGACAGATAATTAGCCATATAAGATTTACAAGCTTAAGCTCATTTTCAGAATTTTAGCATCTCCCAAAATTGTTAAGCTCCAAGCAAAAAATCTTTAATAAATTTTAAGCAAAGTTTTATCCCTCTTCTTCATCCACAAGAATTTTAAATTTCTTATCGTCCTCCACCAGTCCTTTGGAAAGGCCCTTTAAGAGATTTGGCTGGGCTTAGATACTAAAGTGAGGGCTCATCCTGGGAGAATGGAGGGGGTGGGGTAAGAGAGAGGAGGTAGGGGGAAGTGGGGTTTTATGGGGGTGGATGGATGGTGAGGATTTGGGGTGTGGGGTTTTGGGGGGTGCTTTAGATAGGGTTTATTTAGCGATGTGTGGTTTTAGTATGGATGAGTAGCAAAATATTTTTTACTATATTAATTTATTGCTTTCTCAATTGTTGAATTATTTTGAGGCTAGTGAATAAGAATTTGAAATCTAAACGTTCATTTTTGGAATATATATTTATAAAAAAATTCAACTCTGTTTTCTCAAAATTCATCGGTATTTCTTTGAAACAATCAGAAATTATTTAGAAACATCCAAAAATCATCCAAAGACAATTTTTAAGCAACTATTTTTCAATGCTTTAGAATAAATTATATTTATCTTTTCTGGATTCCTTGATGCATTTTAGTAAGTATTCCAAGTTTATTGAGAATACTGTTTTCTGTAAGGACTGAAGGGTTATCAATTGCTGTTTCCTCTTTCTTGACCTCACTGTAAATCTATCCTCATGAAGAGCTTCTAGATTGAAATTTAAGAATAGAGAGAACGTTAGAATTATTAATCAGAGAGATATGATATCGTTCACAGAACTTTATTGCCAATTTTCTCTTGTGAATCATAGCATTATCTATCACAGAAAATGTTATTTTAGAACTTTTTAAATGAGTTTCCACAAGTATATAAATTTAATGAATTAAAAGTATTCTTAATTCCAATTACTCCTTCAATGGCTTCTACTAAAAGCAGTCATGAAGCTTTTTCAGAACTTAGAGTATGAAGTTAAAAGATGAACTTGATATCCTCTTTGTCCTCATTAATAAAGCTTTGAAGGCCAAAAAGAGTGCATAGATTTGCTGATATAAATGAGGTAAAACTCGTTATTGCATATTTTTTACTCCGAGCTAAAAATTTCCTTGATGTTTACTTTAGCCTAGATTCGGCTACTAATATTTTCTATTTCTTGAATCCTCAGACACATTCCTTCTACATGCAGCTTCTTATTGTTGTTAGTAAAATAATAAACAGACTTGGGGACCATTCAACTAAATGATCTTTCATGGTTAAGGCAATGAAGTTCTTTCATAAGTTTGCTTGTCAGTACTGTTGAACCACTTGGATATCGAAGTTTTCAGATTTTTTGCTCAGAAGTTTTCTGTTAGCTCTTATGACAACTTTTAGCTCTATTTTGTATTTTGAGATGATGCTCCTGACTCATTCTGGCCTTAGAATACTTAGCCTCAATTTCATCTATTTTAATTTTTCACAAATTAGTATTGGATATTATTCTAAAGAAACCTGAATCACGCATTGTCTTCTTCTTAATCAGAGACTTCAATAATGGTAAAAACCAAACTTTGATTCTGACTAAATATCTAAGTTCAATATAAGGGATTTAAAAGGGGTTTTGGGGTTTTGGGGTTTTGGGGTTTTGGGG